AAGGAAATTTTAAAGTTTGCGTATCAGACTGTTATCGAATTTTTTGATTTGGTTGGATTATTATTTATTTCTCAACTTGAGTTTTTATTTAGAATTTTGAAATTGGGTATATTTCATGGGGACATTTGATAACGATTCAGACAAATTCACAATTAGGGACTGATTTATAATTATAAAGAATGATAAAGATTAACTTGTTACTGAGACAATACATTGTGGATCAGTGGTGTAATTTTTCCAGTAAAAACACTTTCTAGTGTTTAACAAAAAGAAGTAAAGAAAAAAAGGCACAACAAGGAGGATGGACCACAATAATCTATTATAATATTATTTTTAATTGTAAATTAAATGCATTTATTTGCGCCACAATAGTCTATATTGGATTTTTATTGTTATTTTAATTTAGGGATTACAAAAAATATGTTTAATCCGATATTCATAGGACCCTGCCCCCGAATGAGATAGGGATTATCCACATAATCGAGTAAACAGAGACAGTGGTCATTACCCTGAAACGGATAGGGGATAGATACAAAAAATATGATTTCCTGTCCCGCTATCCACCACATTTAAAGTTAATTTTAAATTTAAGTTCTTTTATCAAATATAAAGAAAAAAAAATTGATCATCATTTTTAAAGAAAACGTGAATTGCTTTTAACGAATAAAAAAATAATAATATTCACAAATTAAAGATATATAAAAAAATAAAAGCAAAAATACAATAAATAAATAAATAAACAAAAAAATAGGACGTTAAACGGGGCAGGTGACCTACCTCGCCACGTCTCAATCTTGTCTCGTCCTATTTTAACCGGGTATGAAGGATGTGATAGGTGACAAAAAATACTCGATGAGACAAGGGATTGAAACGATCGATTCGTCTCATACACATCTCGTTGCTATACCTACTTTAACCGTAAACTTAATGCATTTAGTTGGTGTGGAAATTCAAAGAGATTTTTTGAAGGTTTGATGTTCTTTTATTTGAAGTGCTAAATCTTCAAATTATGTTCCAATACACTTTATATAGTAATTTTTTAAAATAGAGAGTGATTGGCGCACTCTTTATTGACATTTTATATTGATTGCGTTTAATCAAGGGAAAAGGCAGGGAGTGGACCAAATAAAGTTTACACTGGACCGTAACAAATAGAAAAAAAAAAATCCATATCTTTTTTGGGAAATTAGACAGTATATTCTTCAAAAAAAAAAAACTAAAATATACTGTCTTTCTTAATTATTTAATTTCACCATGCTTAGATTTATAAATCTCCTTTATTTTTACATGTCCCAACCTACTACGCTTGAGAAGGGATCCTATCTACCGTCGCAGCCAACCATCACCTCTTTTCACAATCAACATTGTGATCTAACCAAGGGATCGTAATTCTTCTCTCTCCTCTCCCACCCCAATCTTCGTCGTACATCCGTCTCCCCAACCATTAGGAACTTTAAATCTTGATTCTGATCAAGTTATAATCATGTCCAATTTCTTTTCTTTTTTGTGAAAAAAGGTTTGGATTTTGGGCTTGCAAATATTTTTATTTGCTATAGCATGTTACAATGCTTGACAACCAAGGTTGAAAATGTCATGCATCTTGTATTGTATTTATGGTGTTTATTGATGAAGGACACATGATAAAATGAAAGAGGACTCGTTATGACTTCAACGATTATACTCCTCGTTTCTTTTATGTCAATTGTCTTGGTTATGGAATATTACATTGATGAAGAGTAAGTCTTGCATCATCTTCAATCCAAATTATAGCTTTTCGAATTTTTTTGATTTAATCAAAGAATGATTTAAACAATTGACACTTTCGTGCATCAAGATTCAAGATATTCACATATTTTTCGAAATGCCCTAATGGTTAGTGATGATACCATTTAGCTCCCCAAGTTCGACATGAAGAGATGTGGTCCCCAATCTCATGCATACACCCAACTCTTAGGGATAACAATTCGAACTGTTAAAATCGAAAATTGTGGTTCGCCGAATGGGGCGAAAAAAATCAAACCGATAGTTTAATGGGGTGGTTGTGATTTTGATTTTAATGACCCGATTCGTGGTGGGGCGAGTATGGTATTTAGCGATGATGTCCCGCCCAAAACCAATTACCCGTTTAAAAAAATTAATTGGTCAATTGGATTTTTCATTATTCTTTCCCAAAATTAATTGGGCAATTTTGACAAATGGGATTTGAGCTTCCCCAAAATGTTGGCCAAATTAACATTTCAAAACATTCTTCCACTTTTTTTACCCTATTTTGTTCTTTCTCAATTTCCCTAAATCTCGTTTTCATCAATCATATCTGAGATGTCTTGCTAAGGTCATCTGCGTAATCTTTTAATCCATTCAGTGATCATCTGCATGCTTTTCTTTCCCTTTAATCTTTGGAGATGAAGCGCATGTAG